ACATCTGGGTTCTCAATTCTGTTCCATTGGTCAATGTATCTGTCATTGTACCAGTACCAGGCTATTTTGACTACTGTAGCTGAAGTCAGGACCTAACTTATTTTTATTGGCTGCATAATATTCCACAGGATTAATATTCTGTGCTACATTTAATTATTCTTCTGTTGGAAATTTCATTTTTCCCCCCAATATGTCAAAACTACAAATAAACTGAGGTACTTGTATACATATCTTAGCTGTGTATTTAAAATTAAAGAAGAAACTTTTGCCAACAGAATGCCGTTTTTCCCTATATGACATATCTTGAACATTTTGCTGGGCTCATAATCAGCATGTGGTTATGACTGATAGTATGTTTAGCTCATGGTAGAAAACGTTTTGATCACGATGACCATTTTTTGTTCACAATAATATGAAGTTTTATCTTTCATCAACTCCAAGAATTTCACTGAGGGAAAAGCAAGACCAAACCAAAAACCTCTAATGCATCTGTACTCAGCAATTTCTTTTCACTTTCTGCATAGCTAGCTGTTTGATACAAAAACCTGTAATTAAAGGACAAGATAAAATTCAATATGAGAAACTGTATCGCTGTGAAGATCAAGGAATCACTCAGATTCCCTAACTTTTACTTCATTCTTTCCTAATAAGCACTCGTAGTCCACATTGAAAGTAAAGCATGTATCTTTTTCAAATAATATTTAACATATTTATAAAAGTAATAAATGTTTACTAGAGAAAATTTGAAAAAAATTTAACAAAAAATAAAAAGAAAGAAATGAAGTCATGAAGCGCATATAGTGCTACATTTCACTGACTACTCTTGACTCATTTGTCTTTTGATGGTCATTTATTAAAAAAGAAAATCCAATAGCCCTTAATCAAATTATGCCTTCAAGGTTTATTTTTAAAATGCAAAAAGGGCTCAAATAATTTAAAAAATGAGCACCTGAAATCTCTTAAGTTTATTTCAGCACTTGAACACAATTTCTCGGAAACTGAAGCTGATTTGTTCTTAAGTATCCCATTCTAAAGCCATATTTTCCTACCATTAAGGACATTCTTTGCAAATAAAGTGAAAGAAGATCAGGAGAGAAAAGAATTGGAAAATATAGTGGAAGACTTAACAGTGCCTATACCTTTACCTATAGTACCACCAACACTTCCTCCACCTCCTGCAAAAAAGAAAGGACAAAAGCAAGGTTGGTGGCTTATCATTTTGCAGAACCTTTAGTGACAAATGTGTGAGGAAGAAAGGCTGAAGCCTGGACTGCCTTACTGAGTCAGAGTCTCTTTGTTGCAGACCTAGGTTAGGTTTCCAACCTGGTGCCATCCATCCTCCATACCATTTCCTCACTGGAAGATGCAGTGTTGGGTGGGCAGGGTTTTGCCCCATTCTACCTTCCATTTTTATTTATACAATAGAAAGATTTCTCACCCGGAGGTGAACACTTATCACATTGCATTGAACAGTGGCAATGTCAGGGAGTGCAGTACTGGAGACCTCTAAACAACCCTCTCCCCTCCTGCCCCCAAATTTCCAGTAGCTCATGAAAAAGCCACTCCATATTTTACAGAATAATTATATCCTTTGATGTGGACAACCAACATTCTCTTAGTCCTGATTAATAAAATTTTCTTCGGAAAACTTTGCTATTTAAAAGCGAATAATCTAAGTAATTGCTGCCCTTTTCTCCACCCCTTCAACAGACTGCTAACCTTAGCCCTCCAGTGTATTAATTCTGGAGCTTCTGCTAGTATTGTAACAGTGTTTGTCTGTCTACCCAACTAAAGCATGTTCCTTGAGGGGATGACTCATGCCTTGGTCACCTTGAACAGTTGTCAGTATCTAGCATGGTGCCAGGCACAAACTAACCATTTAATAATTGTGGGTTCCATTGAATAAGAGAGCACCAGAATCAGTGACCAAAATATTGTGGAGACAGGTTTCCTTGTGTCATAGATTTGGATGCTGAGGTTCAGAAAGAGGAAGAGAATTGCTCAAAGGCAAAATCATTATGTTAGACCAATCTTTTCTTGGGAGGGAAGGGGTGGCCACTATTGAGTAATAGGTAATGGCCACCAATGGGAGTTCATTTAGCTGTTCCTTTTATTCTGATAGGACCTGGAATTTAAGAGAAGGGAAAAAGCAGGAGGAGGATAGTAATTTGTTAAGCATTTATCATGTGCTAGGTGTTCATATATCTTATCTCCACTGGGGACCTGAACCAGGGCAGTAGGGGATTGGAGGGACACTAGAGATTATATGATGAACATGGTGGCTGAGAACTCATTAGAGTGAAACATGGGTAAGGATTCTGAGTGGATAGTTAGATCTGGAAGGCATTTCTGAAGTCGGCAACAAACACAGAACTAGGTATTGCTTTAGGGTTGTGGAGGACAGCGAGTAAGACATACTCATGAAGAGATGTTCAACATAAGGTTGGATATGTAGCAGCTATGGTGGAATATTTTCCACAACATAGATGATTACTATACACATGGACCTTGCCAGATGGAGTACACAGGAATCAAATCAACTACATCTGTGGAAAGAGACAATAGAGAAGCTTGATACCATCAGTCAGAACAAGGCCAGGAGCCGACTGCAGAACAGACCATGAATTGCTCACATAAAAGTTCAAGTTGAAGCTGAAGAAAATTAGAGCAAGTCCACAAGAGCCAAAATATGACCTTGAGTATATTCCACCTGAATTTAGAGCCCATCTCAGGAATAGATTTGACGCACTGAACACTAATGACTGGAGACCAGATGAGTTGTGGTAGGACATCATATATGAAGAAAGCAAAAGGTCATTAAAAAGACAGGAAAGAAAGAAAAGATCAAAATGGATGTCAGAATAGACTCTGAAACTTGCTCTTCAATGTAGAGTAGCTAAAGCAAAGGGAAAAAATGATGAAGTAAAAGAGGTGAACAGAAGATATCAAAGGGTAGCAAGAGAAGACAAAGTAAAGTATTATCATGAAAGGTGCAAAGACCTGGAGTTAGAAAACCAAAAAGGAAGAACACACTTGGCATTTCTCAAGCTGAAAAAAACTGAAGAAAAAATTCAAGCCTCAAGTTGCATAACTGAAGGATTCTATGGGGAAAATATTGAATGAAGCAGGAAGCATCAAAAGAAGATAGAATGAATACACAGAGTCACTGTACCAAAAAGAATTGGTCACTGTTCAACCAGTTCAGGAAGCAGCATATGATCAAGAACCAATGGTACTGAAGGAAGAAGTCCAAGCTGCACTGAAGGCATTGGCAAAAAACAAGGCTCCAGGAATTGATAGAATGCCAGTTGAGATGTTTCAACAAATGGGTGCAGAGCTGGAGGTGCTCACTCATCTATGCCAAGTAATTTGGAAGACAGCTACCTGGCCAACCAGTTAGAAGAGATTAATATTTGTGCCCATTCCAAAGAAAAGTGATTCAACAGAATGCAGAAACTATTGAACAATATCATTACTATCACACACAAGCAAAATTTTGCTGAAGATCATTCGCAGTAGTACATCAACAGGGACCTGTCAGAAATTCAAGTTGGATTCAGAAGAGGATGTGGAATGAGGGCTATGATTGCTGATGTTAGATGGATCATGGCTGAAAGCAGAGAATACCAGAAAGATGTTTAAACAAAACAAAACAAAAATAAAATAAAACCCCTTTGTCATCGAGTCAATTCCAACTCATAGTGACCCTATAGGACAGATTAGAACTGCCCCGTAGGTTTCCAAGGAGCAGCTGGTGGATTCGAACTGCTGACCTTTTAGTTAGCAGCTGAACACTTAACCACTGCACCACCAGATCTCCAGAAAGATGTTTGCTCATGTTTTATTGACTATGCAAAGGCATTCGACTGTGTGGGTCATAACAGATTATGGATAACATTGCGAAGAGTGGGAATTCCAGAACACTTAATTATGCTCATGGGGAAACTGTACATAGACCAGGAGGTGGTCATTTGAACAGAACAAGGGGATACTGTGTGGTGTAAAGTCAGGAAAGGTGTGCATAAGAGTTGTATCCTTTCACCATACTTATTCAATCTGTATACTAAGCAAATAATCCAAGAAGCTGGACTTTATGAAGAAGAGCCTGGCATCAAGATTGGAGGAAGGCTCATTAACAACCTGCAATATGCAGATGATGCAACCTTGCTTGCCGAAAGTGAAGAGGACTTGAAGCACTTACTGATGCAGATCAAAGACTATGGATTCCGTATGGATTACACTTCAACAAAAAAGGAGACAAAAATCCTCACAACTGGACCAATAAGCAACATCACGATAAATGGAGAAAATATTGAAGTTGTCAAGGATTTCATTTTACTTGGATCCACAGTCAACACCCATGGAAGCACCAGTCAAAAAAATCAAATAACAATCTTGCATTGGGCAAATCTGCTGTAAAAGACTTCTTTAAAGTGTTGCATAGCAACGATGTCACTTTGAGGACTAAGGTGCACTGGACCATGGTATTTTCAATTGCCTCATATGCATGCGAAAGCTGGACAATAAGGAAAACCGAAAAACTGAAGCCGTTGAATTACAGTGTTGGCGAAGAATATTGACTCTACCATGGACTTCCTGAAGAATAAACAAATCTGTCTTGGAAGAAGAACAGCCACAATGCTCCTTAGAAGCAAGGATGGTGAGGCTTTGTCTCATGGTCTTTGGACATGTTATAGGGAGGGACCAGTCCCTGGAGAAGAATATCATGCTTGATAAAGTAGGGAGTCAACAAAAAAGAGGAAGACCCTCAGTGAGATGGACTGACACAGTGGCAGCAACGATGGGCTCAAGCATAACAACAATTGTGAGGATGGTGCAGGACTGGGCAGTGTTTCATTCTCTTGTACACAGGGTTGCTATGAGTGGGAAATGACTTGATGGCACCTAACAACAACATCATGGTGGAATATAGCAAAACAAAGGATTTGGACTTCGAAGATGTCCAAATCCTATCTTTATCCACTTACTGTTAGATATTGGGCAAGTCTCTTATCCTCTAAACCCCAGTTTGCTTCTATATGAATGTGGAATAACAATGTCTACCCCACAGGACTGTTGAAAGAGTTAATATTGAATGGCCTAGAATTTCTTAGAAAGGCAAAATCCATGGTTAAGTATTATTATAAGTATTATAATCCTTATGGGGTAGTAAGTGAAATCAAATAGAACACTTGGAGGTTGAGGTACAGAATATGTTCTTCCAACCTCATTTTTTACCCTTACTTTTTGCTGGGCTGTCACATCTGTAATTAAGGCATTAAAAAATATAGTTTTATTATAGTCAAAATTCTTAGGAAGGAACCTTTTATCAATATGTTTCCCCCCAGGAAGGAAGGATACTCTTCTAGAGAAACCTATCCCACCTGAAGAACCTGCTGAACCTATTCTCTGTGGCAGCATGGCCATAGGGGCCGTTTCATTAGCCGTTGCAAAAACCAGTGCCATACTGGGCAATAATCCTCTGTATTTAAATATGGCATTACTGAAGCACAATCAGGTTAGTATCTATTATATTCCATTATTAAAACACAGTAGTATCTTGATATGAATGAATCATGTTTCTTGTGTTTCCTTGCTTTTTCTATATTTCAGGAACAGCCAAAAAAGCTAACTGTACCTTTGCTGATGGTGTCTCTGGCCAGCTGTGGGAAATCATCTCCTGGGAAGCTGAATTTAATGAAAGAAGTGATTTGTATCCCCCATCCTGGATTAAGCACCAAACAAGTACCTTACATTATCTTAAATGGCTTTTCTATTTAAAAAAAATATATATGTATATATATACATATGTGTATATATGCACATATATATATATATTCCAGCATTAGTGAGTTTTTAGTGTAGGTCCCTAAAGCTTATGACACTAAGGGAGAGGGAATGAAGTAGAAAGTGCGAAAAAATATTTTCGGAAATCAAGGAAGTGGGAAGACAGTCAAGACCTCAAGCAAAAGGGAGCACATTTAGACCATCTTAGATCTCTGACTCATTAGAGCAATTACTCATGCTGGTGACTCATGGAGAAGACATGGGCAAGTCACTTTGCAGGCTCGGTCATGCAGGAGGGCCATTATTTGGGGGGAGTTGGGATATCTTTATTTACTGGTCTATGCACTACAGCAGCAGCAAATGGAATCTAGCTCACTCTGTTAAGTAAGAACTCTAGGACCTGGATCTTTCCTTTGGTAAATATCTGTTGTGCTGTCTGGGTACCAGAGCACTTGGCATACCATTCTTCATCTTAGTATGCAGACCCCATCATTATCAGAACGCACTTTTCAACTTTTTAAGTGGCAATGGATATATACCAGTTCAATCACTCTAATCCAGACTCCCGTGGTGACCAGTGACATGTACTGCAAGAAGGTTATCCAGGGTGGTCAACAGACCATGAGAGAATGAAGTTAACTTACTCTAACCAACTGTGTAAGTCAGTTCTGAACAATGAAGAGAGGTTACTGAGGAAGAAGAGCCTCTCTCATTCATTTTCAACTGAATAAAAATTGGGGGCTAAAGATTAACAAGTAATTTTCTGATTTTGTAGACCATGTTGTCCACTAACCAGGGTGCCTTCTCAGAGACCCCACCAATATTCTGAGTTAGAAATAGCCATGTATTGTGTAAAGTTTTATATCTGAAATTTCTAGACTGCAGTTGTGGAAGATCCTGGTTATTCTACTTACAGGGTGTGGAGATGCTTCTGGAAATTCAGAAACATGTAAACAAAACTATTGAAACGGTATGTAAAGAGATTCCATGGTATCTAGTTACCAACACACACTTATACATCTTCTAGTGTCCGATCTGTAGCTGATCACGGAATTAAATCCATATTGTTGTATTGATATGGGAAGTATATTCATTTGCCTTGGTTTTCCCATATGAGCCAACGTTATCCGTTCCATCACTGGCTAGTTTCTAATGGTACTTAACAATCTCATTTAGATTCTGAGGCAGCTGGCTCTATGCTAAAATCATCCCTTAGGATTTGCAAAGAAAGGAAGGATTTGACCCCTAGCACATGAGAGGCTGTTTTGCATAATGGTTAAGGCACAGGCTCTAGAATCAGACTGCCTGAGTTGGGCAAACAAGGGCCCTTGGCTGAGCAGCCCTCTCTTGGGGAAGTCATGGAGGCAGGATGAGAGGCAGGTGTGTGAGTAAGCAGTTCTCCCCTCATAGTCTGTCTTAGGCTGATCTCACAATCCTGGAGAGAGACCCTATCCTTGTCTGTGGGGCTTTTTTTTTTTTTTTAAATATTTTATTTTAGAACATTAGATTTACGGAAAAGTTGCAAAGATAGTACAGAATTCCTGTATATGCCTCACCCAATGTTAACATGATATATTATCAAAGTACATTTGTTAAAACTAAGAAACCCAAATGAGGCCTTGTTGTTAGGTGCTGTCAAGTCAATTCTGACTTATAGGACTCTGTGTACAATAGAACTAAACACTGCCCGGTCCTGCGCCATCCTCAGAATTGTTCTCCTTGAGCCCATCGTTGCAGCCACTGTGTCAATCCATCTTGTTGAGGGTCTTCCTCTTTTTCACTGATCCTCTAATTTACCAAGCATGATGTCCTTCTCCAGGGACTGGACCCTCTTGATAACATGTCCAAAGTACATGAGACGAGCTCTCACCATTCTTGCTTCTAAGGAGCATTGTGGCTGTACTTCTTCCAAGACAGACTTGTTTGTTCTTCTAGCAGTCCATAGTATATTCCATATTCTTTGCCAGCGCCATAATTCAAAGGCATCAATTCTTCTTTAGTCTTCCTTATTCACTGTCCAGCTTTCACATGCATAGGAGGTGACTGAAAATATCATGGCGTGGGTCAGGCGCACCTTAGTCCTCAAGGTGACATCTTTTCTTTTTAACATTTTAAAGAGGTCTTTTGCAGCAGATTTGCCCAATGCAATGCATCATTTGATTTCTTGACTGCTGCTTCCATGGGTGTTGATTGTGAATCCAAGTAAAATGAAATCCTTGACAACTTCAATATTTTCGCTGTTTATCATGATGTTCTTTATTGGTCCACTTGTGAGGATTTTTGTTTTCTTTATGTTGAGGTGTAATCTATACTGAAGGCTGTAGTCTTTGTTCTTCATCAGTAAGTAATTCAAGTCCTCTTCACTTTCAGCCAAGCAAGGTTGCGTCATCTGCATAGTGCAGGTTGTTAATGAGTCTTCTTCCAATCTTCATGCCGCGTTCTACTTCATGTAGTCGAGGTTCTCAGATTACTTGCTCAGCATACAGATTGAGTAAGTATGGTGAAAGGATACAAACCTGACTCACACCTTTCCTGACTTTACACCACACAGTATCCCTTTGTTGTCTTCGAACGACTGCCTCCTGGTCTATATATAGGTTCCTCAAGAGGAAGACCCTCAACGAGATGGACTGACACAGTGGCTGCAACAATGGGCTCAAACATAACAATAATTATGAGGATGGTGCAGGACCGGGCAGTGTTTTGTTCTGTTTTACATAGGGTCACTATGAGTCTGAACCAACTTGACAGCACCTAACAACAATAACAACAATGTCCTTTTTCTGTTCCAGGATCCAATTCAGGATCCCACATTGCATTTAGTGTGAGGCTTTGAAGCTGCACGGTTAGATGCACCTGTTGTATAGTGGCGCTGGGATACAACAGCAGTCTGGCATGAAGGAACTTTGGCTCCAGTGCCATCTTGCCAGCACAGAGTCTGCAACTGCAGGCAGGCGGCACCAGCCACTCCCCTGCCGGTGATGGGGTGGCTGTCTGGGGTCCAAGCATCAGGTACTCTGAGCACCAGGCTGGAGCCAGTTTCCATGGAACTTTTCAGGAAGCTAGCTCCTTTTCTGAGTGACCAGCCTGCATAGGATCAAACTTGGACAAATTAACCCTGATCTACACTCTACTTTGCCACTTACCAGCTGTGCAACCTTGGGCCAGTTTCACAAGCAATTCACCTCGGGTTCCTCATCCATACAATGGGGACGATAAGTACCCATCTCATGGGGCGACTGTGAAGAGTAAACGAGTTCAATGTATGCAACGTGTTTAGAGCAGAGGCAGGCACAACAGTGAGCAATGCATAGTGCTTGTTATGAGAGCAGGTGGAGGACATTCAGGTTAAAATAGTAGGAAATTCAGGATATCTGAGCTTTTGCAATTCATCCTGACTTTTAAATGCTTCGCTGATTTTCAGTGATACAACCAACTCGCAAATGTTCTCTTGAAAACTCAAATACTGACAGAGGTATCCTCCTCCCCACTCCCTGCCCCCCCACTACCACTCTCCATCCTGTCCTTTCTCTAGAGCTAAAGGGTGTGACCGTTCTGCCTTTTTCTTTGTATTTATGCCCACACAGATAAATACAAAGCATTGTGTTTTGTGTTTAATATAAAAACAACATGATTCTGTACAAATCATTCAGCAACTTGTTTATTTCTTTGCCCTTTTTATTGAAGGTTTCTCTTTTATTGATATCTTAAAAAACCCATTGCCATCTAGTCGATTCCAACTGATAGGGACACTATAGTACAGAGTAGAACTGCCCTCTAGGGTTTCCAAGGAGCACCTGGTGGATTCAAACTGCCAACCTTTCGGTTAGCAGTCTGAGCTCTTAACCACTGTGCCACCAGGGCTCCTACTGATATCTAGGACTTTATATAATATGGGATACAATCCTTTTTCATATGTTGTACTTTTTTTTTTTAATTGTACTTCAGGTGAAGGCTTACAGAACAAATAGTTTCTCATGAAACAGTAGTACACATGTTGTTTTATGACATTGGTTAACAACCCCAC